TGTGTCTTTCTTACCTCAACGTTCCTCCATCTTCAGCAGCAATTTGGTTCCTAAGTGTTCTGCCTGTTTCTCTCCCCTGCCTCTGTTCAGACTACCGATCCGAGGTCTCTCGCAATGCAGACGAGCAGTGCCAGGCCTGGCTCAACATCCAGGTCCGTTTCTGTCACATTTCAGTTATAGAAACTCCTCTCGATTCACATTTCCTAGTTCCACTTGTTGAATTTCTCTTGAGAGATGATCAGCAGGCTAACATGAATGGCTAGCATAATTTCCACTGGCTAACATGAGGCATCTCTCACCTGCTCTGGTTGTCCGTGACAGGTACCGACTCTGCTTGGTGGTGGCGGCGGTTTCACCAACGATGGCTCTTCCTTCTCGTCCTTCCCTGTTGGTGAGTCTTCTAAATCAATTGGCATTATTTATTGAGGAAAACATGAGCCTTTAGTCAGCTGGTTGCATAAGTGATATGTGGGGTTTCTCAAATCGGCTGGCAGCTTTTTCTTCAATTTCTCATATGCCATTTTTCTCCTCCGTTTCTTCCCTCGCCTTCAGTTGGGTTCCACAACCGCATCCAGTCATCCAGTGGATGTGAGTTTGCTCCAGACTACCCCATCGGCAGACAAACGTGTGCCTGGGACCCTCGCATCAGCGGCATCAAATTCTTTGAGACCACCCATGTCATTCCACTCAGGCGACTCAAAGGTACAGTACAATACAATGTGTAGTTAGGGGTTAATTGTGATTCAATGTGGTACTCATACCAATCGTGATTGTGTCCGGTCCAGTCAGTGGAGTTTCGTGTTCCTCCGCTTATAATTGGACACAGCGGTGTCTTATACTGCCGAGTGGAATTCATACATCTTCTCTTTCTTTCACAGAGTTCATCCTGACTATCAAGCGCATCCGGGACATGAGGCAGAATGCATTCTGTGGCGTTGGTCTGTATGGGGGTATCTTCTTCCGTTTCATTCGTGGGTCGACCACACTTCTTGGCAACAGTGAGGATGCTGCTATGGTGGACATTCAGTACTACAGGAACACAAACGTATCTCATCCCCGTACAAATGGGGTGAGTTCAAAGATTTTCAGCCAAGTGAACAAGCGATTGCAAGTGGCATTTCATCAAAACATTTATCTGATGTCACATGCATTTTTGTGTTTATTATCTGGTGCTGTCTGTAGGACATTACTGATGAGTTTGAGCAGATTCAAGGGAGGCTTTTCGATGCTCTGCCCCATTGGGGAAAAAACAGAGATGTTGCCTTTGACAACATTTTGCACAAATTGCCGGGTGCAGCCAGGTTTCTGCGTGTCAGGTGAGCACGCAACCACCATGAAAGGAATTTGAGTGCCGTATGTAGAAACCCTTTTTCTGGAGGCTGACTCTCCACTCCATTCCATTTCCATGCCACCCCACCCCCAACCAGGGAGCAATTTGATCCTCGTGGCTTGTTCCTCAATGAGTGGGCCATGAGGGTATTCCGTCTCAGCAGGACACCTGTTCAGACATACCGTCCGCTCTGTGCTTTGGAAGGTATCTGTCACTGCACGGACGACTCCCACTGCAACCCAGCAGCTGGTGCTTTCTGTGCCCAAGGCCTAGTCTTCACCAATGCCACTGTTTGCCGTCTCGCAAGTGTTAGGCAGTCTTAAAGAGTATTACGCGGCTGCTTCATTGTGCCTCTTACCTAAATGCAGTTTTAACAAACAATTTAGCAGCGGATGTCCATAAATATATATAGAATAACAATACAACAAGGGAACAATATGTGTAGATACAAAGCAAGGTGTTAAACTGCTGGACGTATTGGAAAAGTTGCAATCAGTATTGCGCAGAAGTGTCAGTCGACGAGGTGTCAGCTGAAGCAGACTTCGTTCGACGTTTAGTGTTTAGCGCTTAATGTCATCTGCGACTTTTTGCTCTAACCGGTTGTTGAAATCGGATAACCGTCGCCATGATAAGGACATTTCTTGAGAATCCTTGCTGACATTCGAGCTCCTTCCTACTAACATAGCACTCGGGTTCTTCACGTGGACGTCACTAAAAAAATCGAACTCGTCGCCAAGTGACTTCGGGCATGTCTTCACGTAAAAGGGGTCGTACATGACACTTCCCATGGTGACTTCGACCTAATTGTTGAAAGCGATGCGTTCTGAAACAGCCTCTGAAGTGCGCGCAACAAGAGCACAAGCTTGAATAAAAGAGCTTCTTTGTCGTTGATACCCAAAACCGAATGGACACTCAAACTAAGCGGAACAAGGACACAAGCTACCAGGGGAACTTAATCTAATATTCCTTCTCCACACACAGAAGATCGCCAGGAACAAGGAACTTTAGCGGTCAATATGCCTGAACAGCGAATATTCGCTTCCCCGAGAGCATTTGTTGCTCTGGTCTTGCAGAACGGATAACCAGTGGGTCCAGGGGTGCTTGGGCTGGGCCCGCCGTCCTCTGGCTGGCCCTTGGCCGAGGATGACCTCCCCAACGGACGGGATCGAGCGGAAGGTTCATACTTTCCGAACCCTGCAGAAGACGCTCTACAGCTCCGGATTCGACGAAAAGCAAATTCACGCCAACGACTCTGCCAGTAGGTGGACAGCATGGCGCCATGTCACCTCTACGTCAACCACTCGAGCGGCATCGCAATATCCGTTTCGTACTCCGTCAGTCAGGGACGTGACGTGACGACAGCAAATCGACGGCGCTGGGGCATTCCTTGTCACTCACTGGATCCGGATCACGGATTGGAGGAACAAGCTTTCCCGAAGGGCAATTACCTCCGCGGTAACACTCATTGAGCTCGTTTGCACGGAAGGTAAGCCACGTGTCAAGATCGTAACAAAGGTATCTTCTCATCGCCACCGTGGTAACCAACATTTCCGAAATGGTCAACATTATTGCCTGAATGGTAATGAACAGTGCTTCCGGAATTCCTGGCTGGTAACTTCGCGTTCGAACTAAGCTGTACACCGTACAAGTAGGGCTTGACTCAGCAAAACTGAAACTGATGTCACGGTACAGCACAGAATGCACATGAACGCTTACAAACGCAAAGCGTTACATGCAAGTATGCGATACAATCAACTATGACAACAAAATCAAGATTAAAAAAAACCTAAATAAACATTCTTAACAAAGCATATCATGCAATATTTGATACTTTGGAAAATATTTATTTTTGTATTTTTTATAGTCTTTATGCAAAATCTGAAAAACTCACATCGATATTGTAATTTTTGTATATTGATTTAGATCGAGCTCTGAAGATTCTTAAATAAAAGTCTTGTTGAGTAAAATAATCTGCTTCATAATAGTTGTCACTATCATAGTTTTGCGTTTTGACCTAGTTCGTTATTTTTTGTGGCGTTTGTTTGGTAATAATGCATTCGGTTTTTAATCAGATTTCGAGCTAGCATATGGAGTTTTAACGTGGTGAATTATAAACGCCAGTATTATAACCCGAAATGCGCATTTTGTGGAGTACATGTGGACAATCAGTTTCGTTTCGGCTGAGTCAAACCCTACTTGTACGGTGTACAGTTTAGTACGAACGCGAAGTTACCAGCCAGGAATTCCGGAAGCACTGTTCATTACCATTCAGGCAATAATGTTGACCATTTCGGAAATGTTGGTTACCACGGTGGCGATGAGAAGATACCTTTGTTACGATTTGGACACGTGGCTTATCTTCCGTGCAAACGAGCTCAATGAGTGTTACCGCGGAGGTAATTGCCCTTTCCCGAATCCTGGTGAGCCAAACGGGTGCGAGTTTGCTTCGTAATCCAAACGTGTGGGGCAAGACAGAACCTCGATAACAAATAGGTCGAGAACACTAACCAGCACTACCGAACACATCCATACATAAAAGCATATTGTATTAAGTTGTCTTATCACATGCACATATTGCCATAAGCTGTCCTTGATTGAAACTATAACTGAGATTTTAGTCTTCTCTCACATTGAATTAAGCTGACCTAAACTGGAACGCTTTGACTTCTAGGAATGGCGGCAGCAATACTATGACCTGAAATATGACGCAAAGGTCTCATCCTTGCCATCCAAACTGGGGAAGCGGAATGGGATGTAGGTCTGCTAAGCGAGACTCCAGACAGCGAATTCAGCCTGACAACCCGCCGTTGAGTCCCTTCCTTTCTTGACCTCCCTGTTCCTTGCACGGCTGCTGCCAAAACAGACAAGAATGTCGACCCTGACTGGCGAACCTCCTCGTCCTCACCTCCTATGACTGCCATCAACTCTGCATTGACCTCAAATTCTTGGTCAAGCTCAGCAGATGCATCACCTGCTGATGCAAAAACAGCATCACCACACCCACGGCAACCATAACCTACACCGTCTACTCCTCCCGCACGCACTTCCTCCCTCCCTGTGCATCCATCATCATATCCACGCTCTCCTCCCTGCCTCTGCTGCCCATGCCTAAGTTCTCCTCCCATCCTGCGGCTCGGTGTCAGCGGCCCTGATTTGGACACCCGCCGCATCCCCCGCCGATTTCCTCGCTCTCTTCTACCTTGAGATTCGGACCCAGGTCTCGCCATTCCCTGACAAGTTACAGCTTGATCTGTATCCAAACCGCCATGGCCAGTTTCGCGGACGGTCCTCGGCTCCATTCTCTCCGTCACACGAGCAGACAAACTCCGCACCAGGCGGAGGGGTTGGCTTAGGTCTAACCTGCTCCGCGCTGTCTCCTTTATGATTGAGTTTCCACTAGATTCACTCCTCCTGCTGCTAGAGCCATTCGTGCTCCCACTCGCGCCGCTCGTCTCTGCGTCCACGTGGCACCCGCTGAGACGTCTGCTGCTTCCGCTGCCCACGCTCCGCCGCCCGAAGCTGCGCCAGCGGCTAAGAACACCTGGCTTTAGAGACGTGGCACCATCTGAGAGGTCATTAATTCTGAAGGGTTCCGGCTCCATCCCCTGCAGCAAAACCTGCTGTTGCGGAGGCAATTGCTGCTGCAGCTGTGGCGGCGGCGGTTGTTGTTTCAGCATCGACAGACGCGCGAAAACCCTGACGCTTCTCGGCGGGGGATTGTCCCCCGCCCGCACTCGTTGATCCGCGGGGAGTTCCCAGAACGTGGCGGAATATCGCACGCCAGCGACGGCGGAGCTTCCCCCGGAATGCGCGCAGCGGAGAAATCCGCCGGAAGGGGCCGCGCGGTGTCCCTCGGGGTGACGCTTGCGCGCGAAGACTCCGCGAGCGCGCGCGCCCCCCATGGCCCCGCGGCGGCCGAACGCGGGGAGAAGATTTCCGCCAGGAGCGGGTTGTCGGGGACGAGGAGGGCATGCGCGGGACGCGCCTTCCGCGCGTGATGGTGGTGCGCTGCCTTGAAGGGGACAGTGGCGCGGGGACTCCTGGGGAAGATGCGCGGGCTTTGCGCGCGGGGGGACGAAATCCTCGTGCGCGCCAAGGGGCTATGCGCGTGAACTGCGCGGCTCAGGGGACTCCCCGCGGCAGGCAGAGAATCCGCGCGGGGAAAAATCTCGAGCCTATGTCGAGGTAAGGGGCTTCCCGCCTGTCTCCGCCGAAACTTTCCGCTTAGGGGCGATTGCGGAAGGTTGGCTCCGCGGCAGTGTTCCCCCAGATAACGATGCGCGGGCGAAAGAACAGCACCACTGACGCCACTGGGGACACCTGCAGCAGTGGCGGCAATGGCGGCACTTGCGGCAATGGCGGCATCAGTCTGAGATTGATGACAATCCTCCAACGGGAGTTCAGAAGTGACGAGCGGCGGCAGTGGTCCGTGATCATGTTGCGGGATGGGCGGCGGCAATAGCCCCTGATCACGTAGCTGGGAGAACTGCGGACCGGCTTGAGATGGATCGTCATCACTCGATCTAGATCGGACAACTGCCATTTTGTCTCCCCTGGTTCTAGGCTTTCCAGAACGTTATAATGCTAGTATTGCGACTAGGCGATTAATAAGAGATCCACGTCGACAATCGGTCGCCTGTCTTGCGTCGTCGATGTGTCAAGTGTCATACTCACCAGACACTGAAACACTCACCAAAAGTCTCTCTCACACATAGACGTGACTTTCTGTTCTAAACGATTCTGACGTTTGAATCGCTGACCTTGCGGGGACAAGTCTTCAAAAGAATTTGCGAGAATCGAAAAAATCGTTCAGATGAGGTGAGACGGGACGGGACGGGTGGATGGAGATGACAAGATGAAAGGATGAAATGAAAGCCGATGATCGTGGGCTTGGTACTTGACGGAGTTGAGAGCATCATTGTCAGGTTTGGGGGTATCATGTGTGTTTCTGTATGGTGATAATGGATTCCACTGTTTTGTTCACGTGATATCTGGTCTTTTGTGAGTCTCAAAACAGCGAGTACAGTTCAAGAATCAGGATCAAAGATTGGCGCGTTGTCATTGTCGTCAGATCCACACTCGCTGATGTGCAAAAATAATACCGTGGTAGGGAACGGTGATGTGTACAAGTCGATGGGCGGCACTGTGAGACGAAAATGGGTGGACCACTAAAATTCGCCCCAGGTACTGGGAAGAATTCTAGCGGTGCAAAGGTTGTATTAGGTGCTGAGGTTGGTGGGAGGATCTGGGAGGAAGCCAAAAGACAAAGCGAGTTGTAACGAAGCGGGGAATGTTTCGATATTATTCAACGACAAGGCGGGTTGTGGTACCGTGTGATCTATGAAGTTCTGTATGAAATATCCTACTACAATACTAATTAAGATTGATACTCTAGGACTCGTAAGATCAGTTCAAGCTTCACAACGACTACCAGGTTTGGCGTTGCAACATTCGAAGCCTCCAATATTTGGTGTTCTGTAATAAAGGCTTTGACAGTTGTAAATAAGCAAGTTTGCTTCACAATGCCCATGTACAGTAAATAAGGAAACAAAAAGGTAAAAACAAAACAACTCCCTTCTTTGTAAGGGCCAACTCAAACATGCTAAACCCCTCAACCAGACCCAGCCACCCACTACCTCACTCAGTGAGCCATGAGAGTGAGCGCATCCCGGGAGCGGCCGAGGAGGTTCAACACAGTGGATGCGATCTGACCGGCGGACAGCCCTGCCTCAATGATTTGATCCTTGGGAGCTCCGTGCTCGATGTAGCGGTCGGGCAGGACAACAGGGCGGAACTGATGGGTTGAGGCGTGGAAAGAGGGGACGGGTCGCAGACAAAGAGGGATGAAGTACCTACTGCACGTGCCCTGAGAAGCCTATAATTCACACCCACACAAGATGGGAGTATCCTAACTAGCCAGGCGTACCCACTTCCTCACCTTGATCTTGCTGTCATCAAACAGCCCATCCAGCGCCATAAATTGCTGCACGTGAGCCGAGAAGCCTCTGATTCACAGCACACATTTCAGAAATGCTCACCTTGATCTTGCCGTCATCAAACAGCCCATCAAGAGCCATGAAGTGCTGCACGTGAGCCGAGAAGCCGCCCACCGACCCCTCCTCCACCACCACCAGCACCTGGTGGTTGCGCACGAGCTGGCGGATCAGATCGCGATCCAACGGCTTGCAGAAGCGCGCGTCAGCCACGGTGACCGAGATGTTGCGCTCCTCCAGCATCTTGGCGGCCGCCAGGCAGTTGAGTGACATGGTGCCGTAGCCCAGCAGGGCCACGTCTGTTCCTTCCTTGAGGATCCTTCCCTTGCCGATCTGCAGAGAAGGTGGGGGCAGCGGGGGTAGGGGAAAGAGAGAACAGATGAACAGATGAAGCGGAACGACACGGTGCCGTAGCCCTGCAGGGCCACATCGGTTCCCTCCTCCAGGATTCGTCCCTTGCCGATGCACATGAAGAGAGGGTTGATTGTAATAGGCAAGTCTGTATAATGCGCCTCTGAAAATTGAGAAAGGATTCATTGGAAGATGCTCCTCTGAAGAGTTGATCACCAGAAAGGTGCAAGCTTCAGTCCCAAGTTACAAGCAGCCGGTTACTGCAGGGCTTGAGAAAAATTATGATGTGGGGTGGGGAGAGGGTGGGGAGAGGGTGGGGGGGACAAAACAGAAAGAGCTTCCTCACCTCAAGTGGCACGCCCTTATTGTTGGCAGGCAGGGGCAGCCCAATTCCGTTCCCACGCGGGTACCGGAACACACTGGGGCCCTCGTTATAAGCCGCTGCAGTAGCCACCATATGGAAAAGCTCCACCTCATCAGCAGGCGCCATCACCACCATCTCAGGCAGACACGCGAGGAACGCCACGTCATACGCGCCAGCGTGCGTCGCCCCGTCAGCGCCGACCAATCCCGCGCGGTCGACAGCAAAGCGCACCGGCAGCTTCTGCAGCGCCACGTCATGCATGACCTGGTCGTACGCACGCTGCAGGAAGGACGAGTAGATCGCACAGAACGGCTTCAGACCCTCAACAGCCAGGCCCGCTGCAAAGGTAACCGCGTGCTGCTCCGCAATCCCCACATCAAAGCAACGGTCAGGGAAGCGTTTCGCGAACAGGTTCAGCCCGGTTCCACCACCCATAGCGGCATGAATCGCGACAATGTTCTTATCCTGCTCTGCCTCCGCAATCAAGGCTTCGGCGAAGTAGGTGGTGTAGGCCTGCGTGGCACTCTTGCCCTTGTGCTGCCGCCCGGTCGCCGGGTCGAATTTCACGACGCCGTGATATTTATCCGCTGCCCGCTCCGCATACGGGTACCCGCGCCCCTTTTCAGTCACAACGTGGATAAGCACAGGCCCGGACGACTGCGTGTTCTTAACCTCCTTCAATATAGTCACAAGGTCCTCTACTGAATGCCCGTCAACCGGGCCGATATAGTACAGCCCAAGCTCCTCAAAGAGAGTTGAGCCCGACCCGCTGATCATCCCCCGAGCGTATTCATCCACCTTGGCTGCAATCTCATGCACCGGACCTCCGATCTGCTTCGACACGCCCTTGGCAACCTCCCGAAGCTCGCGGAGAGGTCTGGAGGACTGGAGCTTGCTCAGCGCGCTGCTGAGCGCGCCGACAGGGGGAGCGGGGCCGTCGACAGTGGCGGTGGGGAGGGAGACCTGCTTGTTGTCGTTGAGAATGACGATCATGTTGGAGTCGAGATAGCCGGCGTTGTTCATGGCTTCATACACCATGCCCGCTGTCATGGCACCGTCGCCGATGACTGCAATCACGTTGTTCTTCCTCCCCTTGAGGTCTCGCCCCACCGCCATGCCTGGGGTAGACGAGGGGGGTGGAGGGGAGGGGGAGGCGGAGGGGGAGGCGGAGAGGGGGGGGGGGGGGGGGTGGGGGGTGGGGGGAGGGGAGGGGAAGTATAAATGACAAGTGGGCATAGGCCATGACACGTGGTGCTTGGTCACTGACCGCACAACGCTCCTCGGCCTTCAGCAATGCCAGGTGGAAAGGAGGAAGAGGAGAGGGAGGAAAGGAGTAATCTGAGAGCGGGTGGGGGTGGACTGTAATTACACCTACTGCAAGCGGAAATCACGAGGTGGCTTGCCGTTTTCTTGGCTACTGCCATTCATGGCGTCATGAATTTTGGGGAGAGGGACGTAGGTTACGGAGACAGAGAGTATGGAGGGAAATAGAGGATTGAGGAGGATAGATGGGTGGAATTTGGCGGAGAGGTCAAAGTCAGGGTTGTTTTTTATTGAGGGTTCGATAGGACTGGGAGAACGGGGATGGGAGGCTCAGCGTGAAGGCTGAGAGAGACGACCCCCTTTTTCAACACTTCCGAATGTTGCTCCTGCTGTACTCGGTTGGGGTTTGTGGGTTCGAAGAGTGCAGACATCATAGTCAACTGCGAAGCCGTGCACACCAGGGGATACGGGAACCGCAGGACAGGAGAGCTACTCACCCATCCCATTCACTCCCGGTCACGCCTAACCATCTTACCAAACCCAACACTCATCCACCCCAGCCACCCACCAAGCCACTCGCCAATACCAACCCAAGCCGCGCCCACTTACGCCCAACCACCCACCAACCCCGCCCACTTCCCCATCCCAGCCACCCACCAACCCCATCCACACCCCGATCCCAGCCACTCACCAAGCCCGGCGGAGATACTGGTGGAGCTGTGTCCCGCGCCGAACGCGTCATACTCGCTCTCCGACCGCTTCGTGAACCCGGACAGCCCGCCCGTCTGGCGCAGCGTGTGCATGCGGCTGCGGCGGCCCGTGAGGATCTTGTGCGGGTACGCCTGGTGGCCGACGTCCCAGATGATGCGGTCGTCGGGCGTGTTGAACACGTGGTGCAGCGCGACAGTCAGCTCCACCACGCCCAGGGATGATCCCAGATGCCCGCCCGTCTTCGACACCGTGAAGATCGTCTCCGCGCGCACCTCCTCCGCCAGCTGCTTCAACTCCTGCTCGGGGGAGGAAAAGGGGCGGGCGAAGGGAACGGGGGAAGGGAGCCGGGGAAGGGAACGGGGGAGCGCACACGGGGAAGACGCAGGAGGGGTTTGGGAGATTGAGATTGGAATTCTGGAGGGGTACGCCTGGTGGCCGACGTCCCAGATGATGCGGTCGTCGGGCGTGTTGAACACGTGGTGCAGCGCGACAGTCAGCTCCACCACGCCTAGGGAGGAACCCAGATGCCCGCCCGTCTTCGACACCGTGAAGATGACCTCCGCGCGCACCTCCTCCGCCAGCTGCTTCAGCTCCTGCTCGGGGGAAAACGGGGGGGGGGGGGGGGGGGGGCGGGGGAAGGAACGGAAGGGGAATGGGAGGGGGGAACACGCAGGGCAAACAGGCAGGAAGGATGGGACAGCTAGTTCGGGATTATGTGAGACGACCCTAGTTAGTAGTTTCCCGCCCAACTCGGCGCGGACCTTCTGCTCTTGGGAAGGGCTCACGTAAGGGATCCGGAAAGGGATTGAAAGGAGAGGACGAACGAAGATGGGGACACGGACGAGAGAGATGGAAAAAGAC